CGTGATGTGTCATTCACCATAAATTATGCAAAACGTGTTATAGATTTTAAATATTTTTTGGTTATTTTTATAGCGCTGCACTCTTGTTTATATGTGAATCTTTGAGGTTGTTTATGTACCTTTAGTGTTCAGCGGCTTGTTTTATTTTACTTTTAGCGCTTACTTATTTCTATATTACTTATGTGGGACAATGATTGGCTTTCTTTTGCACTATCCCTATATACGCTGAATCTCCTCTGCAATAAAAGTTTTCGAAGACCGCAAGTACAGCTTCTACGCTGTGGATTATTCTCATTCCTGTGGCAGTGAATATCAGTAATTGCTACTTGCAAGAACGCCATGGATAGACTGTCCTAATTATCTCAGCTGGTCTTGCTGAGCTTGATAGATGGTTAAACTATATGGAAATACAATCACTGAAATAACATATAAGTATTAACATATTTAACTTCAAAACTTATTAAAATCATATACTTTATAACCAAAGTTTTGTGGAATGTAATCGTCACATCTATACAACCTTGAGACCCAATAAACCCAAAGCGCTGCTCAAAGCTCCATTAGGATCTCCCAGGGATTCCAACTCTGACAGGTGCCTGTCTTGCCCGGTCACAAAACTCCCCTCTAAAGCATTAGAGCACCTCAGATACACCTAGAACCAAATATCCTTCTGGTGTGTGCTTCCATTTTTTTTTTTCATTTTCAGACATACATGGTGTTGTTGGACATTCCATTCCAAAACAATCGGCAGTACTATGGGACTGCCACCCACCCTTGTGACTATAGCATTCTCCACTCTTGTAAGAAGACTTTCCACAAGATCTTAGCAGGTCTTTGAGGATTTATGACCATATGTGAAGTCAGGTACTGAAGTTGGAGAGGAATACCTGACTCACAATAAATGGTCCAATTCATCCCAAAGGTGATTGGTAGAGTTTAAGTCAGGGCTCTGTGCAGGACACGCAAGTTCCTCTACAACAAACCCATCAAACCGTGTATTTTTGAAGGTGGCTTTGTATACAATTATGCTGAAACAGAAAAGTGCCTTCCCCAAACTGTTGCCACAAGGTTGGAATAGCAAAATTGTCTAAATTTATAGCATTAACATGACCCCTTACTGGAAATATCTGATCTCAATCCTTTGGAGGGGTGGGGTCCACATTCTTTTGCCAAATACTAAGGTGTCCGCTAAGGCTGGCCATACACTATACAATTTTCTGTCCAATTTCTGCCCAATTTCCTTTAGATTTACCTTCAATTATGTAGTACATGGGCCTGCCTAATTGGATACAATTGAAAGTGTTGTTTAGGTTTGACCTCAAATTATATGTTTTTTGGTAAATCTAAAGCAAAATTCGCAAGAAAATTGTATAATCTATGGCTAGCCTAAGAATGTGGTTGGGGTTCACTGCTACCATGGGTACTTGCTGAATCCTGTGGGTTAGAGATTTGCAGTCCCAGTGAATTTATACGTAGATTTTCCCAAATTTGTTCAGCCATTTTGCACTGAATGGACTCTGAACTATAGCCAGCAGGCTTAGAAGGGTCAATAAGGAGGCTTTTAGTTAAGCCATCTCCCTCGTTGTAAGAGGGGCACAGAGCAGCCATAGTGCCAGTGTACTGGAAATGTTGTAGAGAAAGCATAAAGAGATGGTTTAAAATGTGGACAGTTCGGTGGAGCCCAGCCAAATTTTGATCCATCTAAGGGCAGACTGGTTGTACAGAAATTGACATCTCGATAGACATCTGTACAACCTGCCTGCTGGAAAATGTTCACTCGATAAGTCCCACCTGCTATAGCGGGTAGTGCTGATGACTGACTGGTTTCTGATGGTGAAAAAGCCTTCTCGCTATCAGAATACAATATCTCAGTGGGAGGGATTCCCCCATCCACATTGAGTGTGTGCATGGGGGAATCAATCATTTTCTTTTGTTCATCTCCGTGGTAAACTGCATAGGAAGGGATTATTAAGGTCAATTAGGAAAATGTACTTTATCACTGATAGCTAGCTCTTTGGGCAATCAATGCTTTGCTGTTTTTTTTTTCCCTTATTGGGGGGCCTTTGTTGTCTTTTAAACCACTTGCCGCCCTGCCACTGTAGAAATACGGCGGCAGGGCGGCACGGGCAGGCAAAACCACGTTTTAAAACGTGTGTTTTGTAAACAGGTAGGGGGCGCGCGCGAGGCGCGCCGCCGCCCTACCAGTCCTGCCGATCACAGCCGCGGATGTCAGTCACTGGGTCACAGCTGGTCCTTACCGGCTATCTCCCGGCGATCGGCGGCAATCAGTGACAGAGAGCACAGCTGCAGTAGCTGTTGTTTCTGTCACTTCCCTGACAGCTCGAGGACAAGCTGATCGGGACAGAAGAGTTTCACTCTCTCGATCAGCCGTGTCCCCTGCAGTACACACCCCCGTCACCTAGTAAAACACTCCCCCTCACAGAGATAACCCTTCCCTGCAAAATAAAAACCCCTTCCTCCCCAATGCCATTAGTACAGTGTCAGTGTTTTTTTTTTTGCACTGATCACTGTATTGGTGTCACTGGGGATGTCAGTGACCCCAAGTCAGTACCCCCCCAGTGTCAGAATGTCTGCTGCAGTCCCGCCATAAGTCGCTGATCGCCGCCATAAGTCCCTGATCGCCGCCATAAGTCGCTGATCGCCGCCATTATTAGTATAAAAAAAAACTAAAAATCCCAGTATCTTTCCCGCCATTTGTAAACGCTATAACTTTCACGTAAACCAATTAATTTACACGTATTGGGTTGTTTTTTTTAGCAAAGATATGTCGCAGAATGCATTTTGGCAGAAATTTATGACTAAATTTGATTTTTAATTTTTTTTTTTTTTACTGGACATGTTTTATAGCAAAAAGTCCAAAATATTGTTTTTTTTTCCTCAAAATTGTCAGCCTTTTTTTTTATAGCGCAAAAAATAAAAACCGCACAGGCGATCAAATACCACTGAAAGAAAGCTCAATTTGTGGGTAAAAATAGGATGTAAATTTAACTTATGTACCGTATTGCATGACCGCACAATTGTCCGTTAAACTAGCGCAGTGCTGTATAGCAAAAAAATGGCGTAAATTGCAGTATCTATACCATAGTTTGTAGACGCTATAACTTTCACACAAAGCAATCAATATACACTTATTGGGATTTTTTTTTTACCAAAAACATGTAGCAGAATACATTTTGGCCTAAATTTATAACCAACTTTGAGTTTACTATATATTTTTTTATAGCTGAAAGTAAAAAATATTGTTTTTCTTCAAAATGTTTGGCCTTTTTTTGTTTATATAGCGTGAAAAATAAAAAGCGCACAGGTGATCAAATACCACCGAAAGAAAGCTCTATTTGTGTTAAAAAAAGGACGTAAATTTTGTTTGGGTGCAGCATTGCATGACCGCGCGCAATTATCAGTTGAATTAGTGCAGCGCCGAGTAGCAAAAAGAGGTCTGGTCATTAAGGGGGTAAATCCTCTGGAGGTCAAGTGGTTAATTTTATTTGCATTTGATTTGAGGTCAGTGGTCACTTTTAGCTGCTGTCCCATCCATAGCCAACATTTCGTTTTGTATGAGCTTTTGTTTCACGGAATTTTAATTTTTTTTATTTTATACAAAAGGAACTTTTTAAGTTTGATGTACTCAACGTGAAGCATATACTTGTTACTGACCATCTGTCCTTGGAGCTGCTTTTTGTTCGCAGTACGCTGCTGGATCGTTTTCAAGGAAAAAGAAAAATTAAGTGTAAAAACAGCATGCTTTTAATAAGCATTGCTTATTAAAATTTTGCTGCTGGCCAAGTCATCTGCAGTCTCCTAATTCTTGTAGTAAAACCTTGTCATGAAAATTGTACTGTTTTTGTAACACCATGTACAGCTTTAAGGCATATCCCAAGCATGCTAATTAACGTATTTGTGTATTGTTAATGTTTCCCTCAAAGCCATATGAAAAGGGCTATTTTTTTTTTTAACTTTTTTGCATTTGGCAATGCCAGTGCAAAGCTTGTAGGCAGGTGCAGTATGACCTCCATGCAAAGGTGGCGCTCTTGCTACCCTGCAGAGAGATTGGAAGAATGAAGAATGCACATTCCTTCTGAACCTCCACACATTATTAGGTGGGATGCTGTCCAATTGGACACTGACCCCTGTGGCCATCTTTAGTGTGGGCATTGCTTATAATAAACACTGCCTCACCATAGTTGGCGTACATTCTGCGTGTTGGCTAGATTAGGGACAGGAACCTGCTTGATAGGAAGTATGTGCCTAGCGTAGGGAGAAGTTCCAGAGGAGGAGGGGACAGTGTAGGGGCTGTCGTCAGACCTTCTGCAGAGGAATCTTTCTGCTATTAGTTCTTGCTGCATATGCCTTCTAGCCATCCCTCCTGCAACAGGTTCTGCTGGTCTCTGTGCATTGCTCTCTGTGAGTACCGTAAAACAACCTGTGGGTGTTATTGCCAGTTCTAAGCCATTGCGTAGACTGTTACTGTGTGTTGGAATGCTTCTTAACAATACAATTCCTCCAATTTAATTTGCTGTGTGTGCCATGTCCCTCTAGGGTGCCTGCCACCTGGGCCCCTACAAGCCTCCCATTCCTTTTTTGACAATAGTTTACCTATTAGCCCAAAAAATGCACCCCATCCCCCCAATGAACTTTAGTGGGGTTCAGATTTACCAAATTTCTAACAAGATTTGCCAAAGCTTTGATGAGTTGAACCCAAGCAGATTTTGGCGATCGTTATGGTAAAAAACATATAACCATATACTGCACGAGCCTAGTGATGAAGGCACCATTCTCTTCTACATCTCAGCTCCAAATTGAAGTCTGTACAATTAGTATTTATAACTGTGATATAAATATTTTATTTTATTCAAAGCAAGTAATTTAAGTCAACAAATAGGCCTCTCATAGCAAAGGTGTGAAAAATACAATTAAAAAAACAAAAGTTACGAACACCGAATCTGCAATGCATTGCCATCTGATGACCTCAAAATTGTCTTTTAACTGACTGTGACAATTGGCTCCACACTAGAAATGTCAGTTCTCCCTGAATTTACGTTAGTGGCAGAGTCACCAGTCTGAGGGCTGCTACCTTGCTTGCAGTTACAGTTTTCAGTCCAGGCGTGTCTGAATTGTGGTGAGACTGCCTGCAATGCGTGGCTCTGCACCATTCTCTTTCTTCTGCACACCCACAACAAGGTCTTGAGCTCCGAGCGGAAGCTCTCGTTCAGCCAACAGTAGATAAAGGGGTTGTAGCAAGTGCTGCTCATGGCAAACCAGTGAAAAGCAAAATACATGGCATTGTTACTGCTGATGAGTTTACTGGACATCAGGACAAGATAACAGTTCAACGGGAACCAGCAAACGGCAAAGACCACCACTACAAGCATCAGCATCTTGAGGGTCATCTTCTTCTTCCTCCTGTGGGCATAGTATTGTTCCATGGTAATGTCCCCAATGGCGTTTCTTAGCCACAGTTTCTTGGCCACAGTAGTATAGGTGATGGAGATGACGATCAAGGGTAGTACATAGAGAAGAACGAAGGTAGCCAAGTCCAAATACTTCCAGAAAAGGTCAGCTGGGTATGGAAAACTGGGAAGGCAAACCATCCGCACGGCATTTCTGCAAGAGGATACAATGGACACCGGTTACAACATGACAAGTTCTTTTTCATCTCAAACATTTTAGTCATAGGTAGCAATGAGCTCAATGGACAGTTTTTATTTGTTCAAAATCTTGATAACTTTGAGATTTTCAACAGAATTTTACATTTAACAATTTGGTACGGTGTCAACGGGGAAAAAGACCTAAAGTGTTTTTTGGGGTGGTTTTTATGGTCAATAGTTTTTCAAGTGGTTGTAAACCCTTCCATATACCCAGTGAAGTGACTGGCCTTAGGTGATACATAGAGATGAAACACATCCTCCTACGTGAGTTGTACCTGTTTATCTGTAGTCTTTTCTTATCTACATCTGTTCAAAATGCTGAGTTTTAAAACTTGTCTGAGAGTTCAGGAAAAAAAGGGGTGGAGATCTGAAGTCGCACACTGCAGAGCTCAGTGAGGAGAGCTCTGAGAGATGATTGGAGGAGAGAGAGACTCCCCCTCCCCCCCCCCCCCTTCCCCCACACAGCACACAGGAACAGAGCTGAGACTGTCAATGGAGGTCCCTCCATCATCATTTTTTTTTGGTGTCAGGAAAACGTGTCAGAATTTATTCATGATGATATCAGAGATACAAGACAGCAGACAGAAATGACACAATTTCTCTTAACTGACTGAGACAAGTGCACACTATAGAAGGATAGAAGGATACGCTTTGTTCATATTTCATGTCTGAGGTTTACAACCACTTGAAATGGTTCCTGAGGGCTACAGACTAACTTTTAACCATCCTGGATCCATTTTTGATCCAGTAATGGTCACTCATTTAGACTAATTTTACTTTTTTATTTTGATTTTATTTTTGTTTTTTTGGAGAATCATCAAATATACCAACAAAATGCACAAAAAAGAAAACTGTAGAAACACTTAAAACACTTCCTCTAAGTGCCTAAAAAAATAAATTTTTACATTTATTTGTTCAATTTTTTTTGCTCAAATGGGTCAATTTTACACAACCCTTGTAAGTAGTCACATGTTAACAGTCTCCTGTGGCTGTTTTAAACTGTTTAAACTTTAGGTAGCTAAGTGAGTGCCTGGGGGGTGGGTGCAGTAAAATTTAACTCAGCCACTGATTTTTACTGCCCCCAGGCTGTTATTGTGAAAGAGGCCTTAAACCAGTACCAGAACCTTCCTAGACCTTAGAACATGTACTCAGTCCAGCCTAGCACATGCTAAATCTAAGTCATGTTGCATTTGTTAATGAGTCTCGTGTGTTTAGTGAATTCCAGGAAAGTTTCCTTGCATCAAATTTACTCAATTGTCTGTAAAGATTACTACATTCGGTGTTCGTGTCTGTTTAAAACCCACCATTAAACCTTAACGTGCAAACACGTGCATTTAAAACAGAAATAGACTAGAGCTACATGGCAATTTAATGTCTTCTTGCTGAGACATTTAACCCTTTGCTAGGCTAACAATACATCATACTACTGAAACCAGTTGGTGTTTAAAGTTCCCAGGAACTTGGGGGAGTAAAAATGCTTCTGCAGTGGGGCTGCCCCCACTTTGCAAGGGTTATATACTCATTTACATCTATGGCAGTGGTAATCAACTTTGAGACCAGGGTCCGGTGAATTCTTCCAAGCCCCGGTATTAAAAAAAAAAATTATTACTTGTATGGGGTTTCAAAATATGGATTAAGATGCTGGAAGGCTCTGGATGGGGCTGGTTGACACTGTGGGAGGATGGGGGGAGGTAGGATGTTGCTGCATGCTTGATGGCCCCGTAGAAGATGTTTCAGAAGGGAGTTGGGAGCAAATGGAGATGGGGTCTCTCCAGGAGGCTGTGAGCTTTGCATGAACAATGTAGGGCTCTGTGGGGGCTGACGGACACATTTGGAGGCTGAGGGATAGATGGGGGCTGGAGGCTTTGCAGGGTGTTGGGTCACACTATGCAAGGTTAGGAGGAACTATGGGGTCTGGGGGCAACTGTCGGAGGTGGAGGAGCATTGTGGGCCACTGAGTGGTTGGGGTAGGGCACTATGTGAGCTAGGAGGCACTTTTGAAATTCAGGGATCTGCAGCTGGATGGAGGCCTGGCAGGAGGGAGTCCATGGCTTGGTGCTTGACAACCACTGGTCTAGGGACTGGTATAAAAGTGTTATTTACCTGATCCATCACTCCTTCAGTCTCCTCTGTACTGCAAAACCGGTGCTTGCAGCCTCTTACCTCCTATGGTCTGGTGGATGGATGCCCCTGACACACCCCATATCCCTCCACTTTGAACATGAGGACACAAAGAAACAGACCACTGACGGAGCATGGGGTAGCACTGTCTGCCAGGAGAACAGAGGATTGGATAAGTAAAGCTGCATTTGCTGTGCCCCTAAAAGTAAATGAGCATTTAACCCTTTTAGTGTGAGGGCATCCCCACTGCAAGGGAGTATTTTTCTTTTTTCTAGATTTGGGTTTTAGTCACCAGAAGTAGGAAAGAGTAAAAATGATTTCACTAGAAAATTAGAAAATTTTTAACTGGCGAAATTTGTTTGGGAAAAAAAAAGTTTTCCCTTTTATTCATAAGGTGTGTGTGTGTTATACACTTTTTTTGTTTACTGACTTTTTCTTTTTCATTTCAAGTAAGTTGGTTGATTTTTTTGTTTCTATGATTAAAAAACAATCAATTGGGGAAGGGCAGGGAGGGGGGGGGGGGGTCGCAGGCAGAAGGGTTAGATGGTTAAAAGCCATTTAAACCCCAAACTACTTCCTTAAAAACCACTTGAATTGACCCTTCCCCATTCACCAATATGTTTGTTTTTTTTTTATATAAAGTTAACCTTACATTTTGGTGCAAAGTCTGTTTTTAAGCTGAGTTAAGAAAAGAAAAGAATAGCAGCAACTTGGAGCCCAAAGTCAGCAATCGGCTTTGTCCACTTTAGCAATGTCTGCTTTCACATGGATAAATGCAGTTTTTACGTTTTCTCTATGAAGCTATAGATTCATCAATACCTTTGTAATTTCTTATGAGAGCTAATGCATACTTTTATAATTTTTTTTTGTTACATACAGTGTAGCCCCCTCTAGTGTGCTAATAGAATAGTGTAGTGTATCATAGGAAAATCATTGTGTATGACTTATGGTAGTTGTGTGGGTCATGTGATTAAGGTTGGGTTATTGCAGGTCAGTTGGAAGATTAAAGTGGTTCTAAAGGCTGATGGTTTTTTCAACTTCATGCCTGAAGATGAAAAACCTTCTCTGTACAGCATCCCCCCCCTAATACTCACCTAACCACCCCCCCCTCTATCCAGCAATGTGTACTGGAGTCTCAGCTATGCACGGACTCCATCTTCTCATTGGCTTAGACAGAAGCAAGAGCCATTGGCTCCCACTACTGCCAATCACGGCCAGTGAGCCAATGAGAAGGGAAAGGGGTGGGGCTGAGCCATGGCTCCCTGTGTGAATGGACACACACAGCAGTGGGTGCCCCCATAGTAAGCTGCTTGCTGTGGGGGCACCTGAGAGGAGGGAGGGGCCAGAAGCTCAAGCGGGGGACCTGAGAAGAGGAGGATCTGGGCCACTGACCCAAAACCACTGCAGAGAGCAGGTAAGTATGATGTGTTTGTTATTTTTTTCTTTGAAAATAATAAGCCTTTAAAATCACTTTAACAGGTTGTGGCTCTATCACCTCCTCCTGACTCTGGAGGGCCATAGAACCTTCCAGAAGACAGTGAGAAGATAGGGGTGAAGACCTAATCTGCATGTTCATGGGAGTCTAGCCAATCTCAGGTTTGGAGGCCCTGGTAAAGTGGTGGACTGGCCCATAAATATATAAATGTGTGTGTATATATATATATATATATATATATATATATATATATATTTTGATTTCTGTAAGCAACAGAAGATTTGTTTTAGCCATGTTTGCAGTAATGAGCTTAAAAGGGTTTTTTACCTTAATGTATTCTCTGCACTAAGGTAAAAAAAATATATACTGAAGTAGTTGTATCGTATGACTAGTCTCTAAATTAAAAACTCACGTTACCACATTCCAAGAACTAAAAGCATAAATGGAGAAAATGTGCCTTAAAGTGGTTTTAAAGGGTCAAGGTTTTTCCCCATCATACATTCTATGCATGAAGGTAACCTTGTCTGTGCAGCAACCCCTTGCAGCCCCCCTAATACTCTCCTAAGCCCCCTCTCACCTCATCTAAGCCCCCTATCGATCCAGCAATGTGCACTGGAGTCTCGGCTATCCTGGGACTCCCTCTTCTCATTGGCTCCCACTGCTGTCAATCACAGACAGTGAGCCAATGAGAAGGAGAGAGAGGGTAGGGTTGAGCCACAGCTCTGTGTGTGAATGGACACATGGAGCAGCAGGTGCCCCCATTGCAAGCTGCTTGGAGGGAGGAGGGCCCAGAAGCGTCGGCGGGGGACAGATCTGGGCTGCTCTATGTAAAATCACTGCACACAGCAGGTAAGTGTAGACATGTTTGTTGTTTTTTTTTTTAAAAACAACTTTTAGAATCCCTTTTAAATATCACATTTCTATTTTACAATATTCTAGAAAACCATAATTTCATAAATTACATAAAAAATTATGAGGGATCTCATAAAGTACGACGTAGAACCAACCATATAGACATGTGTATGCTAGAAATTTTTGTTCCGTTTCAGATGCATTCATTGATTGAAGATGTTTGTTTAGTCATATTTGTTGTGTTGACCCGATTCGTTTTCGGAATTCATTTTGCATCTTTGTCATTCCTTTTGTATCTTCATTGGTCCGGTTGGATTTGAAAAATTTTGAAGTTTTTCCAGAAAATTGCTATACTGTATATTCGATATATTATCAAATCAGACGGATTCAACATTTTCGGATGCTAGTCAAACCCCCACTATTGGAAATTACTAATTAGACAATATTACCTGACGTCATGTGCATCCACATTAACGAATAGGATGAATTTTGGATCCATTTGTTATTTGTTATCCAAATTATCAAGTGAATTTGAAAATTGAATTAATTTC